ACGCCTTTTATTTCATGTTGACGCCTTTATTTGTCGTTTACGCCTTACATTTATCTTTGACGCCTTTTATTTATTGTTGGCGCCTTTATTTATCGTCGACGCCTTTTATTTATCGTTGAATGATTTTATTTCTCGTTGACTCCTTTTCTTTATCTTTGACGCTTTCTATTTACCGTTGACGCCTTTTATTAATACTTGACTGATTTTATTTATCGTTGACGTCTTTTATTCATCGTTGACGGATTTTATTTGTCGTTGACGCCTTTTATTTACCGTTGACGCCTTTTATTTATCGTTGAGGCCTTTTATTTATCGTTTAGGCCTTTTATTTATCGCTGTTATCGACAAGTCCTTCAAAGTTATCACCCGAGAAAATCTGCGTCGCTCGTGAAGCACTTTACTGAAGGCTGCCTCGGCCGCCGCTCCTTCAAAGGCCCACTTATCAAAAGTTTTTAGACGGCATTCTCTTCTCCACTCGCTGGCAAGGATTAGTTTTACACGAACATTTTCTTGAGGATTTATGGAACTCTTTGTTTTTGCCGCAAGAGCGTTTGTTGGTGACTTTGAGGGGACCTTAATAGATTGTTTGTGAGACGGCAATGCACAGGGCGGGTCTGCACTGTCCCCTCACTCAAACAAACGAGTCAGACTTTGTCCAAATAAAGGTGCACTTTTTACTTTTGTGTGTCATTCTGACCCAGACTGGCAGGGCAAAAAGGCGTATATGTGCTACGACTGCTCAGTGCTCGTGCTGTAAGAAAGAAAGCGGGTCACTGTTTGGGACGATACAACTCGTGTATTTTTCCGAGTGTCCTGCTGATTTATGCGCAGTGCCATAGCCCAATTTTCAGTTATTTGCTCGGATATCTGAGGAACATGGCTGCGATTGAGCTTCAAAATGAACACGCATTGCATTTTATTGACGCAGAATATTTTTTGCAAAGTTTTCCGCGGCATAAATTGAATTCTTGCGATAAGCACTTCAGTTCGAAAATTATCAATGCTAACTAATGAGAAGATATCATGGAAGGCTAACACAATTATTATACAAAATTATACAAAAATATGTGGTGATTTTTTTCTAGATTTTATAAAGATTTATTTATAATTATTTTCTAGCAAATCACGGATAGAATAATCAAATTTCAACAGACCAAATTCAAAATATACACTTTCCTATTCAAAAATAAGAATATGGTGGTTGGAAAATTGGTTTTGGAAACAATGATATTATTATCATATTAATCTTTTCCTGATATGGCGAGCATCATTTACGGCAATTAAAAGCTAATATTAATTAGTGGAATTCGAGAACTGATGGGAATCAGTTGAGTATCAGAGAGTTCCTCAATGATATTCTTCAAGTGATACAAGATGGGCACATCACCGGTAACGAAGCTTATACTATCTTTCATTTTCATTCACATTTCATAGAGGGCTTTAAATTCGAGCCTGTAAATCATTTCATCACCGTCAGCGATGTTCAAAAACCTGATTATTGCAACCCCATAAAAAAAACTGGGTTTCCATCCCGAAAAAAGTGAGCAATTTTAAAACTTGCAATTCTTCTTTGAAATAAAAGTCGCATACTGAAGACAGCGAAGCTATTTTTCAAAATAATTTTCTTGAAATCTCTGATTAAAATCTCAATCGGCCATAGAAATCTTGGAATTGGTCAAGTAAAGATGTTTGATCTTCAGGCAGCTTCTCAATTGGGATGTGACTCAAAACTTTGCTGTGATCGATGGAGCAAATTGCCACCAAGTCAACGTCAACAGCCGCTCATCAGTGCCTTAACGATCTTAATTCCTGCAATTGGCGACACTTAATAAGATGAGAACCCAGAACTTCTTCGGCCGTCAAATTAGGCGTGAGAACTGCGCAAATGAAGCACAGCGAAGTCTTGGAACAAAGCAGAGCCAATACGGCTGATGTCATCAGTCTTGCAAATTATTTAAGTACAGCATGCAGTTATTGCATTATGTTCATAACAGAGACAATTTAGAAGCTAAGTTCACAGTCTCTGACCATTCATTACTCGACTGGAAAGAAATATCACCAACTCTCTCACGCCTGCGCTCCGCTCTTCAACGGAATATATTGCATAATTTTGCAATACCACAATACAATGTTACGATACAATATTAAAATTATCGATTAATTCAATGTCAATTTTATACAACCATTATATAGTTTTCTTTGTTGTATCTCTGACCTTCCTCACGAGCTCAATGCGGTTAGCCATCAGAGGCGCCCACTTGGGATCATCTAAGCGATATTCCATTGAATTAATCAACGATAAATGCTTCAATGAACTCCAACCAAAACTTGTGAACTCTCAGACGAAAGGCGTAGCAGAGAAGCTTAACGGTAGGCAAAAGAGGAAGTGACACCAACGATAAAATCTCCAGCATCCATCACGAAGCTTAATCCATCACAGCATCGACCGCCGGCCAAAACTTCGAACTTGCTTGACTATCGCTCTCCGAACAAGATCCGCGTTCCGTTCAAAAACCCCGCTCTAATTTACTCACTCAACTCAATCTACTTGAAGTGAGAATAGAAAGCTCACATATTTCTTGCGACTAGATCAAGCTAGCGAATATTGCTAAAGTTGCCGTCAAATTTTACGAGCCTGATTGATTAAGTCGCAGGCAAATATTGACTTGCGCCTCTCGGCAGCGCACGCAATGCCAGAGTAACGCTGGCAGGGACCAAGCTTAAACATATATATTCAAAGCGGCTCTAAACTCGCAACTTGAGTGAGAGATTTGAACTTTGCTTTAAAAGAGGCGCTTTTTTCTTGGCAACGGACAATGATGAGTGGAGTGTTGAGGTCGCGGCAACGTCTCGTCTCGAGATTCGACTTTAAGAAGAGAATTTAAGCAGCAAGTCCTCATTGAACTCAAGAATAAAGAAAGATGTTAACTGTCGACGTTGAGGACCAAATGCATCATAACACGAGTGGATGGTGAGGTGATCAGGAATAAAATTTCATTAACGAGATTTGAGAATAAAAGGTTACATCAGATTTACAATGAAGCTCATCAAGGAGTCACTTAACGCACATTGATCAATTTCATCTTCTTAAAGAAACCATTCGCTAATAAAATGAAGAATTTTGTAAAATGAAAGTAATTAATTGCCAACAATCGAATAATATAATAAGTGAAGTAACGCAGTACATTGAAGGAATTCATTTATAGATGCAATGACAAAATTATGCAACAGAAGTCCCAAAAAATTTTCCAGAATATAATTCAACTCGATCACTGGATTAAAACGAGCAATAAACTCACCGTCCATTGATACGCATGCACGCAATTAGAATGAAATTGATAGCCTGCTAGCCCTAATTATACGCACTAATAACGCGGCATGAGGGGTCCACTCATACGCCAGCTCCCCTCGCAGGACAATTTTAATGCTCGCTTTTTCCCTGTTCATGTTGCCGGAAGAAAACAGTAATTCCCTTGACGCGGTGGGCACACCTCAGGTTTGCACCACACGTGCCCGAGTGTCTGGTAGGAATAGGCCGTGGTGTGGTCAAACGATCGTCTTATGCTAGTGCTTTGTGCAGCTGCTTTCAAGGCTACCCCGAAAACCAAATTTTAGGGGTACTTAGTTCACATAATTGGTAACACGAGTCCATTTTCTCGGGCTGTGCGCTCCACGTTGTGGCTTTGGATTTTTTAGATGATTCATCCGCGGCATAAATGTCGTTACACTTTTCAAACTCAAGTCTGACAGAGAACCATCATTTTAATTCCGACCAATGCAACTAAGAACAAACAAGTTTCTGCCGAAATTAATCTCGTTAAAATCCTAGTGAGCAAACTTCAGAAATTGGTAGCTTTCATTTGCTTTCATGCGTTTTGTAGTGATAAACTTTTAGTGGGACAGAATAGTTGAAATGAAAAAACGCTCTATGATTCTAATTGTGATACAAAATTACCCTAAATGTGACACACAATTATACTTATTGTAATATTCAATTATAATAATTCTGATATACAATCATACTAATTATTATAAACAGTGATACACTTAACTAGCAAAGCATTCGTTTAATTTCATTCCCCCAGCCTCAATCTGTCTAAATGACCTCATGCCGTTTAAACCTCGAACTTAAATGGAATTAAAATTAACTTCGAACAATTAAATGATTTCTACACATGTTCGAAGCATCACGCAGAATCACTGGCTAGAGTGACACATTTAAAGTAAGTGTAACAGTGGTGTCAGCGTTGATCGCAGCGTAGCAGAATTTTCACAGTTTGTTGCAGGTTTCGAACATACAACTAAATTTTGTTGTGCTTAAACGTCAGGCCACCTTGCTGATGTTAACCAGAACTGTCTCAGGAAGCTGAGATAGAACCAGCAACTTAGCAACTTACTACTGTGCTGATCTTAGTTCTCATTGTACTGTATACATTGGGCAATTCTTATAACTACTTTGGGCACTTAACTCAATTGGAGAGTGATTGTGGACACAAATTTCTATTATAATTTTATTAATAACACGATCACAAGTTCTCGGTGCTTCATACTTCAACTTTTAACAACACATCTGCATTGATTTCGCATCACTTTGATGTTTACCCAAAGTCTAGAGCGGGTGCGTTTTTAATGCGTTTTCAGCGCAAAAGGAAATTCTAAAGTTACTGTACAGTGTACATTACCTTTTCAGACTGCGCATGCTGCAGGTCGGTTCGTTTAGGTCTCATGTTCGTCAACGCTGAGAGGCAAGGCGTCTCTGGTGAGAGTTTGAGTGAACGTCCCATTTTGGGTCTTTTGTGAAATTCCCGCGAGTGCGGACCACGCAGGCTGCCCGGCCTGATAACATACAAATCAAATTTTGGCGCCCGAGTGCTGAAGCTGAACTCGATTCCCTCGCCGACTCGGTGCGTAATTATTTTTGCTTGTTGCTGGAGGTGACTAGATCTTTTTTTCGCTTACGCCCGAAAATCACATAAAAATGTAACGAAAATTCTCGGCAATTTCTCATACGGCTATATTAATGATGCGTTAGTTTCATATAGTCAGGAAGGTAAGTTTGAATCAACTAAACTTGCTAACGCACACTTTATCTTCCCAAGCTAGGTATTTTGCTGAATAATTTTACGGTTTAACAGAAAAACACGACAAATATTGAAATGATGATACTCCGGATACACATTTGAATACAAAAAGACCTCTAAAGATATAGATAACGTTAGTAAATAGTAATTAACAATAAAACCCCATATTACATGATCATTCACTAGGAAATAAATATTCTACGCACCAAGCATCAAATATATTCGCTTACAACTGAGTTAAAAGTCACAGAGCGAGAAGAATTCAGATGAGGATTAAATACAAACAGACAGCGAGAAGACTGAAAACAATAACATCCGGGCCACAATTTTGTGATTAAATAATAATAATAATTCAACAATTTATAACCAGTTCAACAAGCACTTCAGATGCTGTGTACATTATTGGCAGTAAAAGGTTATTATCGTTGATGAATGAGAAATTAGGCTCACAACTAACATTGTTTTAAATTTCAATACAGTATTATTGTACTAAACAGAGAATACAGATGGCTGTGAAAACCGAGGTTAAAAAGGCACTTTTAACCCACTAGACATAACTCCTACTAATTACATATAATACTTTATAAACAGGCTTAGCAAACCAAAAATTTTTACACCAGGCTCGTTAAAATCAATGAAACATGACGCGCCGTATTTTGTTTTTGAATTGACATTAAATATATATGTCGGCCGGTTATCCAGCCCATCTACGAGTTGAATACGCCTGTTGCTCATAATGAGGCTAATTATAGACAAAAGAGCGCGTTCGAACATCAAATAATGATTCAACGTTTTATTTTTTCAGAAGTACGGCAACGAGGCTCAAAAACAAGTAAAACAACCGGCACAGCACTGAGTATTGAAAAAAGAAGGAAGGCACTTTGTACTCCAAAGACATCGACCAAGTAGCCAGCAGTCGTTGCAAAAACGAGTTTACCAGCAACTTCAACCGAAGCAAAGACGCTGTAATGCGTCGCTTGTAACTCCTCTTGAAGACGCTTGGAATAGCGCATCATGAGTGTGAAGGTGAGCGTGGATATAACGCCTGTTGTGAAGCTCAAGTAACACAAAGAAAAGATGCACGTGTAGAATAAAAGAGAATTGGGTTCAATAGAAGAAGGAAGAGCGTATACGCAGTAGCTTTGTAATAAAGTCAACCCTAGTCTTTGTAAAGAATGAGATGAGAGCATTGAACTGCAGTCAGCTGATGGTTTTGACAGTGCAATTCCACCGTACACAGATCCTAAAATGGATAGCATTTGCGACACCAAACCATTCCAGAAACTCAGCTCGACCATACTCACATTTTTATCCAGCAGGAGCAGTGGAAAGTTATTGAATGTACCTCTTTCTGCCATCTTATACAAAGCCACATACAGAGCTAACCAAGTCGACCCATCAGCAGAGAAAACAGCGCGTAAGATGGACAGAAAACTTTGGTTTTCTACCTCGACTTCCGAGCATTCTGAAAATTTTCCATCAATACAGCTTACGAGTGCATCCTTCCTAAAATTAGAAGAAATTCGTTTCTTCGCTGTATCTTTAGATACATACTGTGATTTTTCTCCACGAGCTTCAACTTTTGGACTGAAGTCATCATGCTCAAGATTAATTTCTTTGGGCTTTAAATATTTCTGCCCGAGTTGTGAGGGTAAAATGAGCACCCAGAGAGCAGTGACCACATAGACGCCCGCCAGCAGCAGAAGACAAGTCCGCCAAGACGTCAATGGCAGCAGGAGAAGAAGACCGCCGCCTCCACATAAACTTCCCACCTTATACAATACAACCTGTAAAATTAATAATACGCTACTAAGCATGATAAATAAGTCACCTTAGTGATAATAACATAATAATAAGCTCACTCAACCTAAATACATCAAAACTTTGCTGAAAATTTCTCATTTTATGGTCAGTAATTGCAAAAAAATAAACAATTTGGAATAAGTACCTAAAGAAATATATTAAATCATTCGAAAGACAATTTAAATTTATAACTACATCAAGAGAGCTTGGACATAAATAAGAGCAAAACACAGGCCGTTGACATCAAAATCAGAAGGCAGAAGCAACAACAACCTTGATGTCAAAAACATGAAGTTGTCATGAGGTTATGTGGACCTGCATGGAGTTGACCAGCCCGAGATGAGAGTCCTGAAGCCATACGAGGGCCAGACCGTCCACAACCACGTCCTGTACGGCGCACGCAGCGTTCAGCGTCAGTAGCACCACCACCACCGCTGGCAGGTCCTCTGCTGCGTCGCACAAACTGCCTGCAAGCAAGAATGAAATGTAGTTAAAACCTGATCTTTCTCTCCTGCATTAGTACTATCTTACTGAAGAGCAGACAGAACATTCATTTCTCTAGGAGGTTTACTTAATATTTAAAGTGGAGGTAAGCCATCATGAACCTACAAAAGGACTGTTATTAATTCAAGAATTAGTTACAAAAGGCGCAGAAATAATCATTAATAACGTGTAAAGAACTATCTAGAGGTAATTTTCCATTTTTTCATTGAAACTATTAATAGCCTTTTCTTAGAACCTAAGGGATAGTCTACAAGATATATATTGATACATTTATTTGGGATCGTCTACTAACGTCACATTTTCGTCTTATTCATTCATATTGGTCAACGTAATAATAATGAAGTAGAGGAGATATTCAAGCTTCTCAATTTGTTCATACCTACTCAGAGGTGTGGTAGCAAAGTGTGGTAGCTTTCATCATACAAAAACTAAATTATATGCTTTCAGAGAGGGGAAAAATAGAAGGGGTTTAGAATATAGTACTTAGTATATTTGAAATGAAAGATTTAATATTTAAATTATCAGAAATGTTAATCTCTAATTAAAATCAATGGACAAGTTGGTGATAGGGAAAAATGTTCAAGGGCAATACTATTGAAAATTGCTATGTACACGTAGCGGTCGATTTCAGGTCTTTGATTAGTGAATTAAGCTTGAAAAGCTGTTAATGATTTGCTGCTTCAGTAACAAACTCGTAACTACTTTCGATATTTCGGCCCTAGACAAATAGAGGATGAGCATTACCGGCAAAGGAGGCAGCAGCCAGGAGCAGCAGTGCTGCCAACAGCCACCGCCGTCGGTTGCCATAAAGCTGCAGCGCCGGCGCCCACAAGCCCTTCGTGACCCACGGAACCAGTACGGCCTTCACGGCGCCCACGCTGCTCAAATGAACTCTCTATTACCTTGATGTCTCTAAAGGTTTTCAACAGATCTTCATATTCTTTCTGTTCATTATAAAATAATTAATTACGGTACTGGTGAATTAACGTCCTGCCTACAGTACATACACGGCAACTCTTTACCATGCAGCATTTGACTATGGTATTATAAAGTGCTCTTTTCAAGATATTTGTGTAGTTTGGCAGCAGCTGTTTTCAAGTTATGTGCAGCGCATGTGCATTAGACAAGCCTTTATTACTCATCAATTGCTGATATTTGAAAGACATTACCTAAGGAAAAGAACAATAACATACCATTAAAAACTAAACAATTCCTCTCAGGAAATGCAATAATAAAGCGAAAGTGGATTAACAAATCCGTGAAATGTCAGAAAGTACAATGTTTTGGTTTGTCACTAACCATTACATAAAATTATTAACCTGAAGTTTTTCACTGTCTCCACCTTGAATAGTTGAGTCCACGAGCGCGGAGTTGCAACGGGATAAATTTGTCCTGCAGTCCATAAGGAATTCCTTGCACTAGGTACAGCCAACCCAGTGCAGCAAACTTGCCCAGTGTGGATGATGGTTTTACTCGTTTTGCATAGTCCATTATTTTTTAAAACTTGCGTAAATGGAACTTATGATGAGGTGGTTTCAAGGTTCAGACTTGATGAATAGGTATCATATTGCGGTAAATAAATGATGCAGACAAGCTTCAGATAAAATAACAATCTTAAAAATTACTCTTAATAATATTTCTGCAACAGATACTCCAACTATGATTTTCTCCCTCTCCAACAATATAATTGACTTAAAATAATCATAATATTGAATGAATAAGAAACATTAGCTATCTTCTTTTGCTCTCAATCCACACTTTAGCAGCCATAATAATGTGCTTAAAATTTCTCTTATACCATTCTCGATTGTATTGCATGTGCTGGTCAAAGTTCTGATCTAAAAATTGCTTGTAGAATTCAGCCATCTCTTCAGATGTTAGAGTGAGCTGATCCTCATTGCCATGTCTTGAAGCTATGGAGTATTTTTCTGATAACTTCTTGGTTATGAATGCTTGTTTCTCCTGAAAATAAAAGTCATATGAAAAAATTGCTCCTTCAATTATGAGGAAACTTAAGAGAACATCAGAAATTATTAACAAAATAATCACACATAAATTAATATGGAGAGCTACGAAAAATAAAAATTCATCAGAAATTCAAAAATTGTAAAAAGCTGTGTAACTAACAAGGAAATAGTAGGAATGTTGGAAACTACTGTGTCATAATTAATTTCAAGAGAGAATAATATATTACATTATTGAACATGCTGCAAGATAAACCAGACAGAATGAAATCTGGAACCAATGAATATGCAAATGTTATGAGTAATGAAATAGCAATTACAAAATTTTACCAACTTTCTCAAATGCAGTATTGTGTTGCAGCCAATAGTTTTGGTTCCAGCTTTGAGTCTCAAGAAGAGAAGTACGGTGAGCAGCTTGCAATGGAGTCTCTTGTTTTGCAGTACAATAAAGCACTGGACGCAACTTGGACACAGGATGTGGAGGACCAACGTAATCTCTATCTTCTTGTCTCTGGACAGCTTGCACCACTGTCTTGTGGTCAAGGCCTTGTAACTGTAAAAAAATTATAAGAGTTATTTCAAATGGCAATGAAATAACAAAAGAATTACAATGATCAATAGAAAACTAATCATTACATATTACATAAGAACCTCTGCAAGCTAAACGTATAAAAAGTAAGAATTACTAAATGCTCAAAAAATTAATCAAACAGTCTGTCAATGACACATGAAGGTGCCACCTGCCATCTGGCAACTGGCAGGCTGGTATTGGGCACTCTGTCATGAAAGCAATAAGTATTAAGTAATAAGTAGATTTCATAACAAGAAAATTAGTAATTGGCAAGAAAATTTCATAAGTTGAATCGTATTTTTATTGCTAGAATTTAATTCAAGGAATTTTTTCTGAACCTGATAAAACATGATTCATATTAAAAATGTAAAAGTATATATACTTGCTACCGGTATAGCAAGTGGAAACTCTTGTACAGTGGTAAAGCCCTAAAGGTGTCTTACGGTGAACCTATCACAGTATCACTTATTTAATATCAATGGCTAAATAGCCCATTCAACAGTTAGTATAACTGCATAAAAATATTTATACTTCAAAACTCAAGGTGCAAAAATAAAATGGTTCTTTTACACTAAGAATAACATGCTTTAGGAAATTTTCTGGAGTAGATTAGGACCTAGTGCTAGTGCAGTAGTGCCTAGAGGCATAGTGGCAAAGCAGCAATTTTTTTAGACTCTTCTTCAAGTTTATTTTTGAGTCCTATAAGTAGACTAGAAAGTATCTTGGATACCAGCATTTTCATACATAAGGAAATGATTAAAATATGGAGTAGATGAGGAAATTAAAAATGAACTGGTTCTAAAAAAATCTCTGGTTTGCCACTATGCCTAGAGGGCCCGGCCCCAGGCCTCTGGCCAGGACTGAGGCCAGGCTGGCCAGCTATGGATGGCTGGGCACCTGGGCGGCGAGCCCAACCCAACTGCCTAGTGCCAACTGCCAACTTGCCAAGTAACCAGACTGCAAGTGAAATACCAATTACCAAGTCTTAATTAAGTTTATCAAAGCAAATTTTTGCCATTCACTGCAACTGCATGACTCATGATGACTGCATCTGCATGTAAAATTGTAAATGTCATGTTATGAGCATAGTTTGCTAAATGCTAATTAGTAGTGAGTAGTGACTAGTGAACTAGTGATAGTTCCCAATTTTTCCCATAATTGACAAAATTAGGCTCTTATTCAGACAGATTGCACTTGGCATTGGCAATGGCATTGTAGTATAAATGAAACTTTGATGCAAACAAGATTGTAATTTCATTACCTACTTTAGCTACTTACTAAGTTACTAATGAAATCTTGCAGCATAATTTGTAAGTGACTTCAATGTATTTTGAATCTTGTGACTCATTGCACAATTGTTCACTTAGCCTTTACTTTAGACAAAACTGAGCTTAGGTGAACAAAAATGGAAACAAGGAATTATTAATGCCTGAAGGCAGGGCTGGAAAAATACAGTAGGTAGCCTAGGCTGCCTAGCTATTGCTATATACATAATAATACAGGTTTACAATGCATTATGCATCGCAACGTAATTTGATGCAATGTGCAATTTGTGCATGATGCATCAATAACAAAATAACCTTACTTCCCCCCTGGCCCCTGGTAACATCCTCAATCCTCCAAGTTCCAACTAACCCTAGCGGCCTAGCCTAACTTGATTTGACGATTCCATTCCAGTTATCAAGTATTCTCTACCTATCTTACCGCTATTGAAGAAGATATATTTCTAATCAAGAATGTTTTCAACGTCCCTTTCTTTGCCGAGTCAGTTCTCACATCTTTTGAGGAAACACGGACGCTAGGTATTACTCTAAAAAGGCGAAAGAGCACCATTCTGCAATAAAATTATAGGTACTAATCTCATAAAAATTGTGTGAAGCACCGACAGCCGGCGAATCGGACAGCTGCCACTCGGACTATATCCTATATCCCCGGGTTCCGAACCGCCAATTCGAATTCCGAAATAAAATAAATAAATATACTTGACTTTAACATAACATAGTGATGTCGTCTGTCGGCGCTTAAGAATAGGCCTGTGATGTAGCCTGTCGCCGAATCTTGAAATTTTTGTGGCTTGTTCATAGAAGATCTAAAATATTGTCATTTGACCGCATATTTTCAAAACTGACGATAGTTTGAAATAGCTACTAGACTTCCACCGGTTCGATATGGTGCTAGGCATTTCAAGTCTGAACATACATTTTTTCATATCTGTATCTAGTCTGTTCTTAATTAAACGTGCTCATACTCGGGTAACTCGGGGCGTCAACGATGCAATCAAGGAGCCTAGGGCTAGGTCCGCTAGGAGGCTGTTCCACAATAAAATCCACATGTCGGTGATTCGAAGCGAGAAGAAATGTCGCGTGGACAAGTTACAGAGCAGTTTTTTTAGTTTATAGCCGTGGTCCCTGTTGTTGGTTCTTGTTTCAAATTCTAGTAATCCTTTGGGGACCTTGTATAAGCCATGAGTATACATGAAGTTGTATACTTCAATGAGGTCTCCACGCTGACGCCGCAGACGTGGACACTGGCATTTTCAATCAATCAGTAACGTAGTATTTTTCCGGATTGACAAATATTATATGATGCTTACTCCCGTATTACTGGTAACAGCTTTGCATATTGGTTGTATCAATTTAAAACTACCGTTCGTGTTCAGCGAGCTCAAGTTATCTCACTGGTGTCCCGTTTCAAATTTACTGGCGTTTGTCCTGAAAAAGTTTTTGATTTATTTTTTTTTTCTTTGGTTCAATTCCCAATATTTAAGGATAAGCCAAAATAAATTATATATATTGTTTTTGAACTATATTGACCAAGGTTGCGATTGTGATCTACTTGGATGTTTTCAGATGGTAAATTATAGGTAAAACCTGTTCCAAACTCTAAATTTATCTTCATTAATCTTACCTAGCTCAACTGCCATGCATTTGCATCTACAGCAGTGAGAGTTCTCTAAAAACATTTTTGCTCGAAATTTTCCCGTTTTAACACCCTAAATGTGAATATGTGATGCGTCATATCTAAATGCGTCATATCTTATGTCATATCTTTCACTCGTCATATCTTTCACTCGAAAATCGAGTGAAAATGCATTAAACTGTCAATTTTTATCAAGTTTTGACGAACGAGTTCTATTCTGCCTTAGTTGAACAGGACGTAGGTAGAAATACTAAAATTATTACTTCTAAAATTAAGGTAATACTAAATTAAGGGCAATACTAAAATTAATGGCAAATGCCCTTATTTTGTATGGTAAAGAACGATTTGTGTCATCTGCTGTTTACAATTATTCATTGCAAGCGTCGTCTCCCGCTTGCATCTAAATGTTTCAATAGGAGTCTCTCTGTGGGTTACCTGCAACTGTAGCTCGGCTCCGCTCGTCGAGTGAGGTTGTGAGTGTAGTTGGGGCTGTCTGGGTGAGACCGTATCTCAGCGAGCTGTGAGGGAACAGGTCGGGCCCTAAGTTTTGAAATTTTTTCAACGAATGAAGTTATGGATTAACTCCTGCTCCCTTAAGGCAAAAATTGGGATTTTACGACAGTAAAGTTTGTTGATAGTTGGAAGAAAATGAAAGCCATCACACTAGTCGTGTGGATGACTGTGTTAGGCAGTTGTTTGCTCGACCTCACCCACGCTAAAAAGATCCCCCGTTGGTGGATGAAGGTCGCTCAACGGCAAGGGTGAGTTATTTCAACATCTTTCACTTCCTCAGAATGAAACACAATCGGGTTTTAGGAAATAATTTTTTCTATTATAAATATTTTCTATAGATTTCTTATACCTCCACTGGGGTGTTTTTGGTTTCGTTAAAATTATATATCAATATTTCTTCGGAATTATTAAATTTCACGTGAATGGATCCATTTTGTGATGCCTAAATGTTCGTTTCCTACTCCCTGAGTTGTTTTTCCGTGCTATACAACAATTGTTGTTCCCTTAGAACGTATCATCATACCACGTAATTTAATAATATTTAACGAAAGTTTGCGAGAAATTTCGAAGTAATGTTGTTAAACTGTTAAGAATTCATAACTCCCTTTCAGTGCTCTATCTGCATTCTTTCTTCAGTGTTCATCACGTTAAGTTATTCTCAACGAATATAATTTCCGAAATTAAGAACGTACGCTTTGAGTTTTCCAATTATTTTACGAGTGAGTGATACCTTTAATAAACTATTTTCATCATTTCATCGATTAAACCTAGCTTAGAACATTTATAATCATTGCCTCCTCTCCGTGACATTATTTATCAATCAGAACAAATGAACTTAATATCAACACGTACATATCCTTTTGCTCAAATTTTGGTCATATAGCAACAACTAAATCTGGACAGTAAATCTGTCACGTCTTATTTCAAATCCCGGGTTGGACGACTGCTCATTTTTGCGTCTGAGAGAATGCAATAAATTTTGCGTATTCCAAGCCTGGAAGATGGATGAGTTGTTGGCACTGCAGCGTCAGGACTCGTGGCTGCGAATAAGCAAATCCTCGTGCATGTAATTTATGAATCAGAGTCATGGGACTGTCGGTCACCAAGCGCCGCATGAAGTTAATAATTTGTCCATGGCCATGTGCACCTCAAAGAACCATTGACCTTCAACTAACGTATTTACGCTTAACATGCTTCAGATAACGCCGTATAGTTACTGTTTTAATTTGCCGCCTCGCCACCCTCTGAGTCGAGACAAATTGTATCCTTGTGCAAATAAAGTCTCATTTTTTTCTATTGGAAAAAGAGTACTTACCCATAGCTTACAGCTACTCTGACTGCATCTTAATTGTAGTGCTGTTGCTTGCCAATATATCAGGTTTGTCATTGTTATTACTTCAGTAAAAGAAACTTATTCAGTTAGTGTTGCGAAAGCACATGACGTTATTCGAAGGGTTAAAGGACGGACTTCGAACTATGCGTAAATTATTCAACTAAGTTCATCATAATTCACCATGAAAATTAAATGTTATTTGTAACGTTTCGCGAGACCAACTTTGCCGTCTCTGTGTGAAGAAAGCTGTCCTCTGACTTACGAATTTAGGATTTTTTATGATTTCTTCAATAAGTAAGTTTGATGAAGTGGATAAACATTTCATGCAAGAAACTACTCAACCCTTTGGTGGTTTTGGCTATCGAAGACAGCGCGGTCACAAAGATAACACTCCTAGTCACATTTATCCAAAATAATTTGTAAGGGCAGATATAATTTCATTCGAAAGATTTATCGATTAATTTATATTAATCTTCTTAATTTGATCTCCTACTGGTAGCTTGCCTCGAATTTCTACCAGCGAAAATTGCCTTCTACCTGCTCGTAATTTATTATTCGATACAATTCATATTGATCCAAGTCGATATATATTGAAAATTTGGAACATGTATTTTTTACACTGGCTGTCTTGCGTGTTTATGTCGATTGATGATTTTTTTTGTAAAAGCTGAAGCAGAAAAATGTAGGATGGGTCGAAAGCGTATGTATTTTGCTTAGACAGTAAAATGTTTAAAAGCTAAGAACGTGAGTGAAGCTACTGCGAAATATACTTCTTAAACAGTAAAGTATTTCGAAGCTAAGAACCTAGTTGACGCTTCCGCAAAATACTTTCTAAACAGTAAAATGTTATGAACCTTGGAACATAGTTAAAGCTGCAGCAAAATACTTCTTAAACAATAAAGGTTTTCGAAGCTGGATACATGGTTGAAACTATTGCAAAATATTTGTTAAATAATGAAGTGTTTCAAGGAAACACATGGCAATGGCTGGAAACAGGCCAGACAATGCCTCAAAATACTTCCTAAATCCATAAAAAATCTCGCAAAGCGCTGCCTGGAAGTAGACTCGTGGAGCAGATCTTCCGTAAGGTCAAGGTCGACTTCCGGCGTGCCATATGCTTGACCATCAATCTCTCTCTCTTTATCAAGTGATTATTTTAGCCATTCATTGTAACTACTTCATGAGTTCCGTTGAAACCCGACAGAGATTTCTTAATTCAGGCTCTGAAATTTTTAACTTCTTTATTGAATTGCCGGCTTACTTTTCATAATAAGCTTTCTCAGGCTGGATGAACCCTATCAAGTTTTTTTAATACAGCAGAATGCAGGTCGGAAGTACTGAACCATTGCAACTTTCTGTGAGGCTCATATCTATAATAGCTAGGCTGAAGCTCGTACATTATTTGCACTGTTTTTCTTCAGATCGAAAGGTAAAATGATTGTTATATTCACAAATTAGATAAAGACTTATTATCTAAGAAAGCGCCAAGAAAATTCCGCATTTGCATTTCTTCCTTTGAATGAAGGTGAAAAATTTCAAATTATTAATTAATTGCCGCTGATTCTCTCAAATAGTGCAGAATAGATGTAATGTTTATGTTTTGCTTTGTTTTTTTTTATTTTCATATTTTTGTTATAGAAAAACTTTTTTAGTAAAATAAATTGTACATACATACTTATTTTATTATAGGGTAACATGGGGCAGCGAGCCCACTGCGGGTCACGGGCCCATAGCGGGTTTCTCGCTAAGTATGGCAGATATTGATCCGTGTTCTCTACCGCCGGTCGACAGTTTCACTGGGATGAAGTGTACGGATTTACGTTTTGCTAAGTGTTTGCGTTATTAAGTTCTTTGCGAATAACTGTTTTAGTCCAGATAAAAATTTTTTTGCCGCTAAATAAAGTTTTTTTCCATTACTATAGATGAAGATTTTGAAATTACTTTGAATTATTTTTTCAAAGTAATATTTATAACGATAATTTTGAGACCAAGTTTAGACTATTAGCTTTTAAAATAAAATGTTGACACGATATAAATTGAAATGATACCTAGTGGGGGCAACGGGCCCACGCGTGTCACGGGGCAAAGCGCCCATGGTGAAGTCTTGTGTTATACATCATTAGATTTGTCTCAATGACCTTTTCAAACTATGACTAGCTTTTTGAATTACAAATTACACTTAATATTGCATGATTTTTTGATTTGCCGCCTCAAGGCATCAGGTTAAGTTTCTAGTTATGCGTATTTATGACCACTTTTCGAGTTATTGACTCTTGCCTTGCCAAAAGTTGATTTCAGTCAACACCAATGAGCCAAAAGTTGATGAGAGTTTTTATGGTGTTGGCTGAAATCACGATTAGGTACGAATTCTCTGCACATAATATCTGGATTATGGACGAAACTGGAACGAAGTTTTTTTCTGATCAACTAAATATATTTTTTCTAGTCAAGGATACATTTTTTCATGTCAAGGACAAATTTTTTATCGCAAAGATATCTTTTTCAAGTCAAGGATATATAATGTTATGTCAATGAAATGTTTTTCTTCACGTCAGTGATAGATTTTTTAAGCCAAGAGTATATTTTTTTCAAGTTATGGATATGATTTTTGAGTTGTTAATAAATGAATGAATGTCATATTTTTTATTACATTTTTCTTATTTTTAACTGTAAAGTGTTGTTTTATCATTTTTAAACGAAAAATATGCAATTGTAGTAAAGGGACCAAGGGTGGGCGCCTTGCCCCAAGCCCATGGGCCCATTGCCCCAGGGGTGGGGCAATGGGCCCATTTTGACACCTTTTACAAAATAATGTTTCATTAAAAATTGAATAACTCTATAGGCGCCTAATTCACATCATACATTCCTCATTAGTTGCACCTTTAAACAAAACAAAGAACCACCTCGTATCAATTAAAACTTCGTCAAAATTTTAGTTTAAAAAAAGTGGGGGGCGCGCTGCCCCACGTTACCCTACTATGTCTTATTACTTAACTTCATTATTTTAAAATCAATAGCGGCAATTGAATGATCATCTCCAAATTCATCCATATTAACGTGCATGCACATTTTAAAATTGCGCTTCTAAGAAAAAAAAATAGATTATTAAAAAACCTCATCAAAATATCTCTCTATGCAGCATTCTCTTACTTAGCCGAAAAGATGGAGGTTTATGAGCTTTTTCAATTCACGCGGATTTTCATGTTTTCTCGACGAGACAACAGGCATAAAAATTCAGTATAATTCAGAGACTGTGATGCCCCGCCCGCTATAAACAAGCTCCAGCAACAGACGCGATCCGCATAGACTAGCGCTGCTTGTATGCGGCTCAGCCGTCGTATGGGCAGGAGAAACACTGGGGTTTTATCGCTTAAAAAAGTGAGTGTCGTGATGCCAACACTCATATTTTTAAATAATTAAATTAACTAATTTTCATCTTGTTGTTTTTTATTTAATTTAAATAAATAGTTAATTTTCATCTTGGTAATTAAATAATTTCCATCCTTTTATCAATGGAATGACGGGAGTTTTTATGGTGAGTTTTATAGGTTCAAGAGACTCAGATGAAGATTCGCATGTGCACATACAAAAGTTTGTCGTTTGCTAGTAAATGAACAGTTGTTGGACTCCGTATATAAAAGGAACGTTTCTTGTATTGAATGTTCTCATAATGGCGTGTTTATTGTTCGTCAGAATAGAAAAGAGCTGACATGGATAAATATAAAATTTATTTATCGGAATTCAATAATTTGTGACGCGTTCAGAGTTCGACTTCTCTCAACAAAAACGTTGATTGTCATCAATTTCAAAGTGTTGTCGCTTGTTTATATACCGTAATTAGCAAACAAATGATTAAGCTCATAATGCTCTCTAGCAACGATGGAGCTTACACTCTCCTAGGACGGCTTGAACTCA